TTATTATAAAACTACATTGGTATCTTGAAATGGGGTTATTCTACACTTTCACAGTTCATCTCAACAGATTTATCATCACCATTACCAACTCCCTGCCAAAGTCTTTCTTGTAAAACTATCAAGATAAATTGGATGCAGCTGATGAAGTGGGTTTTTGCCCATGGAAGCTTGTGCCCAAATAAATCTGTCTTTAAGGTGCCACAGGACGAGTCAGTGTTTTTGCTGCAGATAGAGTAACACAGCTACCCTTCTGATATTTATCAGAATAATTGGATTCAGCTGGATGCACTATTTTACAAGCATTTTATATTAGTCTTCCAGAAATCTTGTTGGAACTCAAGAATGATATACAATGTAAGGGGAATGAAGATCACTGACAGTTGATATTTCCAATCTCTGACACAAATGCCTGATACAGAACCGATACTATTGGGGATGGTAGCTTGAATGTAGCATATGGATGAACTCTGACCTAATGTCTTTTTTTTTACCTTTAATTCCTAAAATACTTTGTCTGGTATTTTGACCAAGAGTTATTCATTGGTGAATTAAACTACTTAATTGTTTTTGAAGGGTGTCCTCTCTAGCTCTTGAAGTACAGATCGTCTTCCTTAAAACTTTGTGGTAGGACTTCGAGTCAATAATAAAGTTTATGGGAGGTATTTAACAAAGTGAAACTTCTTGATTAAAAGAGTGTATTATTATAGTGCTGTTTTAAATAGCTTTGTAAAATCTTTGGATAGAACATATATTTTCCACTTCCTATTACAACTGGAAAACAGCACTCATATCAAATCTCCCTAATCAGAGCCAGTACCTGTGGAAAAAGTACATAAAGACACAAATCTGACCAGAGTTTGCTTTTAATGAAAAAAAATTGCACTATAAGCTCTAAGTAGGATTTCTGGAGTAGTTTGGAAATTGAGTCCGATCTGGTACTTGAGATGGAGGCCTATCAAAAACTTTGTCAAGGTAGATTACCTTGTGGTATTGGAATAGCTTATTCATAAATGCCTGGGCCATGGGTTCCATTGTGATCATCTGGTCTGACTTCCTATGTAACATAGCCCAAATAATTTCACTGAAAATTCATAGTGCATAGGTTTTTTTTTTGTTTTTTTTTTTAAAAATCCAATCTTGATTTTAAAATGGCCAGTGAGGAAGAATCCACCATCATCCTGGATAAACACATTTTTAATTGTGTGATCTTATTTCCAGTCTGAATTCACCTAGCTTCAACTTCCAACCAGTGGATTATATTGTACCTTTGCATGCTAGATTGAAGAGCCCATTATAAGATATTTGTTCCCCCATATTGGTACTTAGATCACCCTTCACCTTTTCTTTAAGACAAATAGATCGAATTATTTAAATCTATCCCTGTATGGCATGTTTTCTGATTCTTTAATAACTTTGGTGGCTCTTCTCTGAACCTACTTAGTTTGATCACATCTGTCTTGAATTGTGGAGACCTGACCTGAACACTCGATTTCAACAGAGGTCACGCCAGTGCCAACTACAATGGTAAAATAACCTCCTTGTTCCTATTCAAGATTCTCCTGTTCATACAGCTCAGGATTGAATTAGCCCTCAGCTGATTCTCCACTACAACCACCAAATCTTTTTCAAAGTCACTGCTTCCTAGGATAGAGTTCCTCATCCTGTTAGCATAGCCTGTATTGTTTGTTCCTAAATCCATGCATATAAATTTAGCAGTGTTAAAACAGCTTTTGCTTGTGCTTGTGCCCATTTACCAAAAAAATCTAGATTACTCTATGCAAGTTCTGTTCTTTATTTACCACTCCCCAAATGTTTGTCATTTGCAAACTTTTAGTGATGTTTTTGTTTTCTTCCTGGTTATTGATAAAAAGTTAAATATCTTAGGGCCAAGAAGTTATCCTTACAAGACCTCATTAGAAATCCATCTGTTCAATGTGATTTCCCATTTGCAATTATCTTTTAAGATGTATCAGTCAGCTTTTAATCTATGCCAGGTTAATTGTATATTGTTCTAGCTCTTTAATCAAAATACTGTGCAGTACTAAGTCAGATGCCTTACAGAAGTTTAAGTATATTACATCAACAATATTCTCTTCTCAATTAAAGTAGTTTGATAGGCTCTATTTTCCATAAATCCATGCTGATATGCATTAATGATATTACTCTCCTTTTATTCTTTATTTATCGAGTCAGATGTACCATTATTTTGCCCAGGATTGTCAGATCAACAGGTCTATAATTACCCAGACCATCCTCTTTATCTTTTTAAAGTAGTGGCACAACAATAGATTTCTTCTAGTCCTATGGAATTACCCCTGAGACTTACTGCCAGCTCTTATAAAACTCTTGGGTGTAGGTGGGAACCACTGATTCACATGCCTTCCTGTTAATTGCTGCTGTTTAGCATCCTCCTGATATATTAATGGAATGGAAAGAACATGAACATATGTTAGTGATATTGTCTTTTTTACAGAAAGTAATAGTCTGTTTTGCTGCTTTCACTTCCTCTCTAACCCAGGTGGCTTTAATCAGTGTGACCACCATCCTCAGCTTTTTAATCTGTATGATCACCAAAGGTTCTTATGTAAATTAGGTTGTCATGGGATAAGAGGGAAGATCCTTCCATGGATTGAGAACTGGTTAAAAGACTGGCAACAAAGGGTAGGAATCAATGGTAAATTTTCAGAATGGAGAGGGGTAACTAGTGGTGTTCCCCAAGGGTTAGTTCTAGGACCAATCCTATTCAACTTATTCATAAATGATCTAGAGAAAGGGGTAAACAGTGAGGTGGCAAAGTTTGCGGACGATACTAAACTGTTCATGATAGTCAGCACCAAAGCAGATTGTGAAGAACTTCAAAAAGATCTCACCAAACTGAGTGATTAGGCAACAAAATGGCAAATGAAATTTAATGTGGATAAGTGTAAAGTAATGCTCATTGGAAAAAATATCCCCAGCTATGCATACAATATGAAGGGGGCTAATTTAGCTACAACTTATCAGGAAACAGATCTTGGTGTTACCGTGGATAGTTCTCTGAAAACATCCATGCAGTGTGCAGCAGCAGTCAAAAAAGCAAATAGGATGCTAGGAATTATTCAAGAGATAGAAAATAAGACACAGAATATCTTACTTCCCCTGTATAAAACTATTGTACGCCCACATCTTGAATATTGCGTACAGATGTGACTTCTCACCTCAAAGATATTTTGGCATTACTCCCTACATTCCCCTTGCATAGCAGACCCTATGGGGGCCAAGGCTAGTAGATTTTGTGTGCTGTAGGGCTGGAGCTCTAGCATGGGTTCCCTATTGTTGGGGGTAACTTTGGGGGTCCAGATCCAGACCTGAAGTTCCCCACACCTTATCTAAGATATAAAAACAATTGAATTTCCCCTTTTAATATGATTTATTTCTTTACCATTTCTAGGCCAGTGGTATCATCATTGATGTCATCGGGTAGCAGTATGAGCATGCTGAGGTCATTATTGACATACGGAAGCTCAATGACGTGGGCATGCACTGTTTTTATGTAGTTCCAATTAAATTTTTCTCTCTGGCACATCATCTGCACTGGCTTACTTGTGTATGATGGTCGCTGGAGCGTGTCTCTCTGCTAGTTCTTATCTTCGGGAGGTAAGGAATGGTGTCCCTGGCCTCTGTTTGTCAAAGGCTGGAGATGGATGGCAAGAGACAAATCCCTTGATCATTGTCTTCGGTCCACCTCCTCTGGGGCACGTGGCAGTGGCCACCGTCCACAGACAGGATACTGGGCTAGATGGACCTTTGGTCTGACCCAGTACGGCCATTCTTATGGTGTTTGTGGGGAGGGAACTAGCAAAGTGGTATTAAACAACTCCCGATTACCAATATTCCTGTTGTTGATTAAATTCTTCCTCCCATCTGAATTGGCTCATTGTTTTCAGATCTATGAAACTGGCCCTTCTAAAGCATCAAGTATATATATTTTACTTGTCTGGACTTGTTTGCGCCTTATAAAAGCTTTTGTAACTGCTGCCCCCATGTGGATATATAGATAGTGTTTGTGGCATGAAAAAGCTATCTTTCCAGCTGCATCATATCTAGAAAAAGTATTTTCTTGAATGGTCTTAAATATTTCCAATATGTAATTTGATAGTTTCGTTTCTGTTGTTAAAGGAGCTGTGGTTTACAATCAAAACCCACATGTACAAACTGGGACTGCTCTGAACTTCATCACTAGAAAAATAGCTTCTAGCTTTTGTGCTTGTGTCCATAGGTTGCATATAATATTCTCATGCTTGAATTGGAAGACTTGGTTCAAACAGTACTTGGTCTGGGTCAGGAATGAAGTCTGATCTCTTTACCTCTACCTCGCTTCCAGGAAGAAATATTTTTTTTATTAAACGGATAAAGAGAATGTAATCTTTAAGTGGAATTCAGCTCAGTAGCAAGCTGCATTTGTAGAGCTTCCGATCAGTTAGCGGAGTACCTGCCTACTCTACCGATACTTCTGGATAGTGTGTGCCACTCAAAATTAAATGAATTTTTTTCACTTTTCTCTTTTACAATTAAAAGAGTAGGGAGAGGGATAGAATAGAAGACTGGAAGCTGTTGGATTCTGTTCCTAGCCCTGCCACTGACCTGTGTGGCTATCGGTAAAACAGAGGTCATACCTGCCCTGCAACATCCTCATGATATGGCATTGTTAGCAAATTATTTTGAAAGCCTCTGATGAAAAGTGCTATAGAAGTGGAAAATATGAGATAAGTTGACTGCTACTGTTCTGATAGCAGTGCAGATGAATTCACTAGATTCATTGCACATAATGCCTTGACACAGCCAAGTTACACTGAATAAAAATAAACTGCCAGTGCCAAAGATGGTCTTCAGTTTCCCCTAGTCTTACTTGGGTGGAGGTTGGAGGGAGGGCATGCAGTTGCCTCTGGGAGGGAAGAATTCCCTCACTCTATCTACATTCCCAGCCATCACGAATGTTTTCTTTTTTCTTTTTTTTTTAGATGACACGATTGGTGCTGCCCAGCATGCTGGAAAGGTGAGTCATGCAAACACTATACAGACAAAGTCATCATTATTTAGAGGGGAGAATCCTTTCTTTGAAAAATTCATTACTGTGACTAATCAGCCTATCCTCCATGTTTTAACAGCAGAGGATTGCGGGGTGAGTCACGCTGATGGTGCATGAATCATCAGACGGTGGAAGCCTTTTCCACTCTATTCGTTTTTTATTTTTTTGTCTCCCTTCTCCACTGTTGTGGTGATTTCTTTTTAGAACAGAATTTAAAAGCCCATCTGACTCATCGGCACTAACTCAACAACCTGCTATTCTGAGGGGGTGGTTACAGTTCCTGGGAATAACCTTCTTAAGGCTATTTCTCAGAGTCATTGTAAGTAAAATGGATGCAGAGTATGCTCTCATTATACAGTAGGAGGCATATTGAGGGAAGTGTGTGATCATATAGTAAATCAGAATTGGAAGCAGTTCTTTAAAATAACAGTTAATGCACACCAGTCTTTCACTGCTGGAGACATGTATTGACTTCTTGGTTAGATCCTGGGTATAACTAATGCCACAGTCTCTCAGCCTGGTAGCAGTTTTCTAGTTGATGTTGATTGTTCCATAATTTGCAGTCTTTGTTCAAGTGCTATGCCTGAATTTCCAGGGGTGGTTGTATATCAGGACTAAGATGCATTTATGGAGCTGTGAGGAAGATAGCTGTCACATCTGGTGGTATGCAATCCTAAGTCTGCTGCTTTTGGCATCCCCAAATACACATGATGGGAGGGGAATAAATACAATGGTTCAGTATCATTTGCATAAGTAATGCAGCCTGGTGCTGTTAAGTAAACAAACCTAAAATGTTGAAGAGCACTGAGAGAATTAACCTTTTGTGTCTATATACCCTGGGATTCATTTTCTTAGCACATACATGGAGGCTTTTCCTGGTTCATAGGCCAAAAATTTCTTCTTGACTCAAGTGTCTGACTCCTTGCTTCCCTGCATGAAGGTGGCAGATTTTGTTTTTCTCATGACCATAGGTAGAATATATCCCTGTCTTCAAAATCAAATGCAGTAAAATATTTTGAGTAGCTCTACTGTTGCCATGGAGAAAAGGGAGATGGAAATTACTGAAGTCACTCAGATTTTCTGAGGGGGTTTAACATTGTGTATACCAGGTTCTTCTTTGAGGAGTGTCCCCATTGGTGCTCCACCGTAGGTCTTTGAGGCACTGCTGAATGCCTAGTCAGAGATTTACAGTAGCAGTGCCCTCCAGTATGCTGCGCATGCGAGGCAGATGGCATGTGCTGTTCCGCTACCGTACTGCGTAGCCAACCGTCCCTTCAGTTGCTTCTCTGTCACTGCCAGCATTGGTTGGAACTGCAGTTGTGCTCCAATTTCTCTTTAAAGCACTTGGAAATTTTGAAAATTTCCTTCTTACTCACATAGCAAGTGTTACAGTTCTTTCTAGTTTATAGTTAAAGTTTTTTCTTTGAATTAAAAAAAAACCACTTTTTTCTCCTGTTTTATGACTACCATTTTTTTTCAGCCTCTCAGATTTTTACTACTTGGGATGCCTGGTTCCCTGAGATTCAAACATTGCCTGTCCTGCAGGCTGGCTATCCCCATCTCATACGGTCATTCTCAGTGCGTATACTGTTTGTCAGGGGCACGCTACCGCACAGTGCTAGCACTGCAGGCAGTTAACAGCCCACATGCAGAAGACTTGGGAGCTTCAACTGAAATTTCTATTGCTTGAGAAAATGGTAAGACCTGCCACAGACCCAGAGCACCTCTCTCCACATGCCAGCTGTCCTCCTGGGCCATGTCTGCCAGCTCTGCCTTGAGAGACTCTTCCTCCAAGCAATTCAGGAAGAAATTTCATTCCTCAGGGAAAGATGATTCTCCTTCAAAAAAAAAAAACCGGGAGTAAGCACCCAAAGTACCCCCTGCTCCAACTCCTGCTATGGCTCTGGACAGGGAGGTTCCAGGACCATACAGTACCAATGGTTCCTGAGGATCTAAAGACCGAACAAAGCCAAATCCCAAGGTGCCAGCCAAAGTCACGTCTAAATCGGTGCCCCAGCACCATCGGCACACACGTTGGTCCAGGAGAAAGAGAAGACCAAGCCATCTTCGGCCGAAGCACTACTGATACCGAAGAAGCCTAAGTCTTATATGGCACTGTCGGCACCTATGCCGCCCCTGGCACTGAAGAGGCATAAACATGTAGCACTGACAGTTCCTCATTCAGCACCATTGGCACCACAGTTGGCAGTGATAGTTCCATCCCAGTTGCCATTGGCACCGCAGATTCCGGTACTGGTCCCATTCACAGCCACAGAGGAGCTCAAGGTATTGTTGGTGCCCATAACACCTTTGTTTGACACTGACAGCATGTTTGCATCCAGCAACTTTCTAAACTCAGCTACACCGGGCTCAGCACCACTGTTGTCTAGTGACGAGGAGGCCTTGGTTGGCACCCATACCCCAAGGCATTTCTCTTCGAAGCAACCCCAACCACAGCAACAGTACATAGTGGTGCAACTGCAACCACTGCAATGGTTGCCTCCTCCCATGCCACTCCCTTCCAACTGGCCCTAATAGGACCCATGGGCACTGTATTGAGTTCAGTGTCCACAGCAGGTGCAACCCCATACCTCAGCGGCACCTTCCTCTAGAGCATCCTTACCATCGCTCAACAGGTCAGCCTATCAAGAGGAGGAGGAACCAGAATCTAGTGACAAGGAGTCTTTTGTTTCCTCCCATCCTCCACTGCACATCTCCTCCTCTTCTCCTAATGACACCTTGATGCCTCCGTCCCCCACGGCGGGAGACAATTCTTTCCAGGAACTCTACAAGCGGGTTAGAGAGGTCCCTTGAGGTTTCCCTGGTCAGCCTTCCTGAAACTAAGCACAAACTGACCAGCATACTCCACACCTCACCTGCCTCCAAACTGGTCTAACCTATGGACCCTTCCAGGGTCATATGGCAAATGCCAACCACAGTACCACCAGTCTGTAAAAGATCTGACCGTAAATACTACATGGCCCCACAGGGTGTGGGCTTTCTCTTCTCCTACCTATCCTCTAACTCTGTAGTAATAGATGCCATTAATCAGAGGGGCAAACAGAGCCCCACATACACCACCCTATATGATAAAGAATGGAAGCACCTAAACCTCATGGGGAAGACGACCTACTCCTCTCTCTACCTTCAGCTCCGCATATCAAACTACACGGCAGTGTTGGCAAAATACACCACCATATCTTTGACTAGCTTTCACTCTTTATTGACAACTTATCTGAAGATAAGAGAGCAATTCTTAGCCAACATAAATGAGGGCATGCTGATTTCTCTCACTGCCCTACAAGCTGCCCTTGATGCATCCGATACAGCATCACAATCTATTGCGACCGCCATTGTGAAGAGAAGGTCCTCCTTGCTTCACTTGTCAGGTTTTCCCCTTGAGGTACAGGCCATGGTAGAGGATCTCCCCTTCCAAGGATCAAAGCTATTTGCAGACACCACGGATGCGTCCTTCCATTCCCTTAAAGATTCTAGGGGGACTGCAGTCATACGCAAACAGAACAGGTATTTTAATCAAAGATACAAATCTTTGCCCTTTAATCAAGCTCAGAGGCATTTTGACAATAGGAGGAGGCAACAACAAGCTAGATGAAGACAGGGCCCTGACCAAACTGTTACATCTCAACCATCAACTTCAAGGCAAACGTTTTGATGATCAGGTCGAGAGTGCAATAATGCCCCCTTGTCTAGAGCAACCTCAAACCCATCTGCTATTCCATCACCACCTACTACCCTTCTTCTACCACTGGTTCTCTATCACAACTGACAAGTGGGTGTTATGCATGAAGGATGGATACTACATTCCTCTTTCCATTATTCCTTCTTCCCACCCACCCTCCCATCCCTCTTCAGGAACCCATCTCACGAGAGCATACTAGTCCAACAGATCAAACACTTTCTCCACCTAGGGACCATAGAACCCATACCCCAGCAATACAAGGGCAGAGGTTTCTCCCCCTTCATCCCTCCCATTTATTTCTTCACAACAAAGAAATCAGGAGGGTGGAGACCAATTCCAGATCTCAGAAGGCTCGACTGACCCATACGACATGAACACTTCAAGATGTGACCCTAGCTATGATAATACCAGACTTAAATGAAGGGGATTGGCTATTGACTCTCAACATCCAGGATACCTATTTTCATGTATCCATCTGCCCAGCACACTGACATTACCTAAAATTTGCACTTGACAACGCATATTTCCAATACGCAGTGCTACCCTTCGGACTTTCCAAACAGCCTTTTCCCAAGGGTCTTCTCAAAAATCAACCAGCTCAGGCTATAGAATTTATTGGGGCTTACCTTGACTACATCCAGGCAATAGCCTCCGTCCCTCAACAGAGATTCCAGTAGTCCACAAGTCCCAGCCAGAGCCTATCTCCAATTACTAGGCTACATGGTGCTTCAAAGCTGAATCCAGGCTCCATGCGGTGTTGCCGCTTTGAAATGCTGCATACTGCCTGACACCCCATGGCATTTCCAAGTGGCAGTACTGCATGGAGCCTGGGGTCAGTGGTGGAGTCCCCTTCCCCACTCCTGCTGACCCCGGGCTCCACACGGCACTGCTGCTTTGAAACGCCATGAGGAGCATGGAACTGGCGGAGGACTGCTTTGCTGGCTGCCCCATGTTCCCCACAGCACTGTTGTCTTTGAAATGTAGGGCTGTTGCTACACTTAAAAGATGGGAGGCACCCTATCGAATAATCAAAATTCAACATCCCTACCTCACAGCTATAACAGCCTTTCACCAACCCATCAAAAACAAATTGGTATTCGGCCACCCAACAACAAAGCACTTTCCAAAAGACATTCAAAACATGTGCCTGTCAGTTAAAGCCCCAGTTGCAGGCTAGGACTTCAGTCTGGTAATTTGTTCTCACCCATGCACTATTCGAACCTATAGCTCAATGCTTCACCTCTCAACGAAGGTGGCTCTGCTGATTGCTCTTACATCAGCCAGAAGGGTGAGTGAAATTAGGGCATTAATGACTGACCCACTGTTTATATTTCATAAGAATAGGGTGCTTCTGCGATCACATCCAAAGTTCTTACCAAAGATACTTACCTCCTTTCATTGCAACGAACCTGTGGTGTAACCTGTCATCTTTCCAAAGCCTCATGCCACCATTGAAGATGCTAAATGGCACATGCTTGATGTGCACTGAGCGATTGCCTGCTATTTTGAAAGGACAAGGACAATTCGTAAAACACGGACTTTTCATCTCCACTGCTGAAAGATCCCTGGGCGTGCAGATCTCTACTCAGAGACTGCCCAGATGGATTGTAGAGTGCATCTGCCTGGCTTAGGCTGGTTTTACCCAGGGCACACTCCACGAGGGTCATGGAAACCTCTGCAGCTTGCCTTAGTAGCATTCCTCTCAGATATTTGCAAAGCTGCAACTTGGTCTCTCACACGTACCTTCGCCAGACATTATGCCCTCGACAGTAACCTGAAACAGGGCACTAATTTGGACATACGGTCCTGACCAAGGTCCAACACAGCATTTAGCTGAAGCACCTGCTTTCCCATTACGGGTACTGCTCTATAGTCACCTAAGATAGAGCACCTACAAGAACACTCCTCAAAGAAGAGAAGGTTACTCACCCTGTGCAGTAATGGAGGTTCTTAGAGATGGTTGTCGCTGTGGGTGTTCCTCCACCCACCCTTCCCCCCTCTGCTTTGGACATGTATTTCTTCTTTTGGGGCAGAGAAGGGGCAGTTGGCTGCACATGCGTGTTAGCAGCACTGCGTGTGCTATCTACCTCGCGTGTGCAGCCTACCGGAGGGCACTGCTACTGTAAATCTCAGACTAGGCACGCAATGGTGCCTCCAAAAACTTAAGGTGGAGCACCCACAGGGACAACCATATCGAAGAACCTCCATTACTGCACAGGGTGAGTAACCTTCTCATTTTTGAACAATTTTAGAAATTGTAACATGAAAAAGATAGGCCATATATAAAACAGGACACGCTAAATGACATTGTTTAGGAGACTTTCATGGATCTGTCTGGCAGAGATGATCTTCAGCAGTTTTCTTTTTTCTCTTTTGATGGTTCCTTTGCTCTATTTCCCGCACATTCAGCATTGTGGCAACAGCCTGTAATTTTAAAGGAGCCCCCTACTTCATCCGCTAAGCAGCCTCTTTCAAATATCGCCTTTATATAGTAGATAGCTGGCCCTTTCTCCAGCTATGCCAACCCAACAGGGTTATAGCTGTCCTGGTTCTGATCTCTGGCCCCTTACTGTTCCCTTGTGGTCATTCTACAGTATAATTGTCCCTCCAAGACCCTCCCTTTCCATTTTTTGAGATACAATCTAATTCCAGGCACATCCCATTTGTCCTGCTACAACCAAACCCTGACCTTGCTGTAAGTTATAGCTCTTACGGTTCAGGAGGAGTTCTTGAACAGACTCATGGACGGACTGATGGATTGATGGGCAGGAACACAAAGTTTCTAAAATATGTAGTAGATTATAATCTGTGCTTTGTATTTTTCTTATGAGCTTTAGGTGTTGAGACTATTGTCTGCTGTTTGCAAAGATGGGAGCCTCATGGCGTTACTCAAGACATTAAGATTTGTCTTTGATCCAGAAAATTCAGTGGACAATTTTTCTAGACAAATGTCAAACTATAGTATATGTTGCTATAGAAGTAGCAAGTGCAAAATTACATTACGGAGGAAGCTTGCTCTTTCCACTTTGCGTACAGCTGGAGCAGGCGGTGGTCACCATAGCAACAGTGGGAAAGCTAAATATAGCATCTCTTACACTGTACTACTTAAGGTAGAATGATGGGGAGGTGTTAGGGTGTGTTAGGGCAAGTCACCTTTTTATTTATTGTTAATAAACTTTTTTCTGCAAACTGTTGAGGAGGGTATATCAACTGAATTTACCCAGTCAGGTTTGTCAAACCGGTACCTTCTCCTTGTTTGAATGTCTCTTAAAAAAAAAAAAAGTGTTTCTTCTGTGATGCAGCAAGAAACAAAGCCTAATCATGGAGTGATTGGAAACTGTTATCCCCACATCTGGATTCTTTGCTCTCTGTAGTGTTTAAATTAAGCTCTCTTCAGATCAGAACCAGTCTTTGTTTTTGTCTTCCACCACAGTAAAGCATTTTGTCAGCACTAAACTAAACAGTAATATGTAGGGTCCCCAAACGATTGCACGGAGGCTATATTTATGATTTATGGCATTTTTCATAGGAATTGCAATACTGAACCAGACCAGTAGTCCACCTAATCCAGTATTCTGTCTCTGACAATGGTTAGTGCTATCTGCTTCAGAAGAAGAAACACTACAGTAGGTTTTTACAGTGTAACCTGCCCCTATGGAAAGTTGCTTGCTTACCCCCAATAGAGGATGCTTATGTCCCAAAGCTTGCATATTTAAAACTCAAGTCTTAGAGGGGATATAAACTTTTACTGTGCTTGTTCATCTATATAAGCATCTGATCTTTTTAAAAAAAAAATTCTGCTAAGCTTTAGGCCTCTGTGAAATCTTGTCAGTTACTTTCGCAGCATTAACTGTGTATGGGAAAAAGTATTTCCTTTCATCAGTTTTGAATTTCCCGTATTTCATTTTAATTAAATGTCAGCTTGTTTTTATATTACCAGAGGATGAATCTAAGGTTTCAATCTCTTAGCTCTATACAATTAACAATTCTGTGTGCTTTTATCTTAATTCCTTATTTAATTTCTTCCATAAGGTAAACAGTCGCACTCTTTTCAAACTCTTTGTATGAGCATTTTTTAAGTCTTTCAGATATTCTGATCAAATATCTTGTATTTCTGTTATATTTTTCTGAAAGAAGATGATCAGAAAGACCTGAAATAAACTAAACACCTGCTATGAAAACCTTATGGCACCCATTGTTAACCTTTTGCCACAGTTAAAACTGACCATTTAGTTTAGTCTTGCTTTGTCTTGGATAGCTTATCTATATTAATACTTTGCCTATCCTACCATGCCAACTGAGAAACATTCACAAAGTCTTGAGGGAAACAAGGATAAATACTACCAAGATCAATAGGGATGTCACCATGTAGATGACTACACAATTAACCAATAAACTTGAGTTGGGCAGGGCAGGAGCCAGTGCAGGGTTGGGAGCTGGCTCAAAAACTGGTTCCTCCCAGTACTGGTGCCACAGTGCAGCCTGGCCCCTCCCACACTGCTGCCTCTATCAGAGACAGCAATGTGCGATGTGGAGAAGGAGGAAAGGAAGGCTGCCACAGCCACGGGACAGAGGCAGCTCTGTGGCAGAAGCCCCTGCCTGGGGTTGGCGGGGAGGGGGGGGGAAGTTTGCGTGGGAAGCTGTTTTTTAAATCTGCCCCCTTTGCAGACCTGCTCCCGTATGCTACCTCTCTGAGGCAGCAGTGTAGGGTGGCAGGGGGCTCTCGAGAGTAGGTCCCAGAGCACACTGTCTGCCAGCCCTGCTTCTGGGAAATATCAAGTACTTGTGTAACACTAAAATTTGATATGGTTGCACGACTATTCAGTTGCATGCTATCTAACATCCCTAACAATCAGGAGCTCTGACGCTTTAGCAGGAAGCAAACAGAAATCAAGGTATATTTTGTGGAATTTGTTCTTGTGTTATTTTTGATAAGTGTACTTACTATCACGATATCTTTCTGCTTCCAAAGTATTCTGATGGCAAGCAGTTCTTCTGCAGTAGGGTGAGGAAGTTTTAAGCAAACAGGATAACTGAAGGTGAAATATCTGAAGGTTCTGTAATAAACTAACAAGCATTTACAAACCTTTTGTATCAATACCTCTGCACATAGTATAAATAACATTCCAGTCAAATATCTGTCCTTATGGCCGTAGACTTTGTGAATAGACTGTAAAAAGCACAAAGGCATGCTTGTTACTAAGGATGTTAAATTTAGATGAACTGGTTAATCGAATAGTCGATGCAATTTGCATCGACTATTCAATTAGGTGATAAGCCTCAGCCTTTGACATGCCCAGGGCTGTTGGTACACTTCAAAGGCAAAAGCACTGCAGGGAGTAGGGGGCCAGCGGGGAATTCAAGCAGTCCCCTGCTGGCCCCATTCTCCCCGCAGTGTTTCAAAGTAACAGTGCCGCATGGAACCTGGGGTCAGTGGGGGAGTCTGCCCCCTCACCCTCACTAACCTCTGAGGCTGTACGTGGAGCTGCCACTCTGGAACACTGCTTGAAGCCCGGTCTAGCTGGGAGTCCAGTCCTGAGCTACACACCACGTAGCAAAGCGGCAGCGCCGCGTGGAGCCTGGGCACTGCCACTTTGAAGCACCCCTTCTCTTTTCGATAGAGACAGCAAGGAGGAGAAGCGACTAGTTGACTAGCATGTTGACTATCTGATAAGCATTTGCTTATTGGATAGTCAGATTAGTCAGCTAGTTCTTCGCATCTCTATTTGTTACCTCACCAAGGACATTGTGAACTGATGTGTTTAAACCACTTCAGGTTGTCTTAGGGAAGGTACTATAAAAGTGCAAAATATATTACAAAATACTCCTGTCACTTTTGCAGAAATTTGAAAGCTCCCCTGGGCACCCTTTAAGTTGCCCTTGCAACTCTTAGCTGCTCAAAATTTTGAAACCTGTAGCCTAGATGTACAGGGCTTAATTTTCCTAATATAGTAGTTCTATATTTTTATAATTTCCTTGGCCTCCATGGAGGTACTCCTGATTAATACGTACACAAAAAGGGAATCAGGCCTATGTTATAGCCATTAGAAGCCAAATTGCAAATCTTGTAGCTGTTTTTGACTAAATAAATGATAAATGAATCTACATAACCCCTACTAGAAGTAAACATTTCCCTTTAGTTAACAGACACTCTGAAGTTTGTAAGCCATGGCCATTGTGTTCTTTCCTGCAAATGACATTTTCATTGCCTTTCAGATCTACAGGAGTAATCGTGAATATCTCTTCAGCTACTGGCATGTATCCATCTCCACTTCTCACTCTGTACTCAGCAACCAAGGTACCATTGCTTTTTCTTTTTGGTGTGCCCCAATCTGAAAAATCAAACAGAAATGTAACAACGATTAAAAGGAGAAATGTTTTTTCGGGTGTGTTGTCTGGTGGTTTGATGATGTTAAGGGTTTGTCTCCACTGCTCTGTGATTTGGAGTTTGGGTGTGTGATTACTAGTGTGCACCGAGTGCTGTGTGTGACCTCCCTTCTGTGGATGGTGCAGGAATTAAATGGTTCCTAGCCCACATTAATATAGACTCCTCTAAATAGGAGTACATTAATGCAAAGGAAGATAATTTCAGTTTTGTTCCTGTAGTGTCCATGCAAGGGAGTTACAGCTTCGCAATTCAATGTGAATTGCTAGTCTGTCCCTCACAGAATGAATTGCAGCCAGTGTAGACATGCCCTAAAATCGGTGGCTACTGAAGTTAATTTTTTGGAAACTGTCAGCCTAATCTTTTGTGATCTCTGCAAACATTCACATTTTTTTTAAATGATAAATAATTTGATACTCTTTTTTTAAAGGAGGACATTAACACAAGGCAAATTTGGAGTGGAATGGACCTGTGGGCACAGAATGTGTGAATAAGTCTATATACAAAAAGATTTTGGTACTTTTTGCCCTGTAGTCTTACTTCAAGATATTTTTTAACAGGACTGTTGTGTGACAGAACAAAAATGTAGGCTATAATCTGCCCTGTTGTTTCTATTGCAGTTATACCTGTTTTCTCTATTGGGCCCTGTCACCAAAGTGTGGGGAAGTCAGAGGGGTCTGCACCCCCATCCACAGTCAAATGTGACTGTCAAACAGCAGGCAGAACAGACGGTTTATTAGTTGTCAGGGACCCAGCATAAAACAGACTTGTCATCGCACAAACCATAAGCAGTCCATACCATCCATCTTTAGGAGCAGGAAGCCTAGAGTCAGGGCTCTGACCCTCCTGTCTCCTCAGCCAACTAAGACTGAATCTCTTCCCAGCTTCTGGTTCCAGGATCCCAGTCAAGCTCCTCTTCCTGTCCTTGTCCTCCTTCACTGGCAGAATGTGTAACTTAGTCGCACTCCCTCCCAGGTTCAGGTTATGGCCATTGTATACTCGTGGGAGCCTGTCAAACCTGAAATTCCCATCACCATCTAGGACAAGGGCGAAATACGGCCTGAAGGCTGGATTAGGCCTGCGGCCCAGTGGGAACCTAGGCCAGGCTCCCTGCCTGCCCCTCCCCATTCTGGGCAATGGGAGCTGCCTGTTTGAAGAACAGGCAGCATGCAAAGTACTTCTCACCTCACTCCCATCAAGCTCACAGCTTTCAGAGCAGCAGACATGGCCCAGCAGCAGGCTGCTCTGAGCAGCATGGAAAGTAGGGAGCCTGGTTGAGAAACCTACTAGGCTGCTGTCCAGGAGTCACCCAGGTAAGCATTAGGGAAGGTGTCTATATCCTCCTCCCCGTCTTTAAACTGTGAAGCACATTCATATCAAAGTTCCATGCAGTGTTGGCTCCCTCCCCATTCAGCACCATAGGGGCATCTCTGCCTTGCAGCTCCTCCATCACTAGCTCATGCTCCCATTATCGCTCCTGGTCCTGCTGTTCTTTTTCACAGTCCTCTCCATAATCCCCACTTCCTCACTGGCCCTTTATACACAACTTAGGATGTCTACTTAAAAGTTTTGACTGTTTGAATTTGGATACAATCGGACTAGTTTAAAAAGTTCACAGGCAAAACAACATTCTAAATGTTTCTATCTTTTTATAATATTTATGCTGTCTGATGTTAGTTTCAGTAAAATGTTTCTGTTGTATGAAAACAATCCTGTGCGGTACATCTTCACTCTTTCAAAAGTATTTCCTTCCATCATCTCATCACTTCAATCCAGCTGCCTGACTTCTTTCATCCTAGGCCTTAGGGGTAGGTCCACACTACTGTTGAAGGTTGGCTTAAGGAATGTAATTCCAGCTACGTAAAAAGTAGCTGGAAGTTGGCTGAAGTCGGCAGGCACTCCTGGAAACTACTTTAAGTACAACCCAAGGCCTTGCCCCTAGTTGTTCAAGGATTTCTTCTTCTATCGAATAGGTTTGAGTCAGCCTTGAGCACTGTCAGTGTCACCCATGTCAGAGCATGGATAATTTAATCTTCAGAGAGTCCTGAATTCCCTCTCTGGAGTGTAAAGGCTCTGCAATATAGTCATGCTACCTGAAGTCAGAGGTTCTTGAGTTCTCTCTGCACTGAAGCATTGCTTCCTCACAAGCAGAGGCAGTGATTAATCAGCTGCCATGTTATGTATCCCTGCGGAAGTCCTCTAGATATGGAAGTGTACTCCAGTCATACAATCCCAGCTGCCAAATGCCTGGCAGGAGGGAAAAATATAGTCTCAGGCAAACAAGTGATAAGAAAGGTTTAACTGGTAAGCATCACCCTAAATAATCTGTGCTTTCTAGTTCTGGATCACGGATGGGGCTGGAGCAGCTGCTGCAGGGGCCAGCCTTTGTCCATGGTGGGCCTGAGCTGTCATGGACAGAGGCTGTTTCATGGCAGCCTCTTCCTTGTCCCCACAGCCATCTGTCTGTGGGGAGCTCAGACTCCCCTCAGACAGGGACTGTTGCTACACCGTGTTGCTGCCTCAGTATCAGAGGCAACAGTGCAGGGTGGCAGGCAGCCAGTCTGCATGGAGAGCTGTTTTTTAAACTGGCTACCCTTGTGGACCGGCTCCCACCTAGCACTCTGCACTGCTGCCTCTGATACAGAGGTGGTATCACAGGTTGGCAGGGGGCTTCTTGGGAGTTGTGCTGGATTGCACTGGCTGCTGGCCTCACCCCTGGGGACTGTAGAATATTCAAGTACCTGATAAAAATTCGTGCAGTTACTCAAATATTCACTTACCTAATATCTAACATCTCTACCTCATCTCCCACCTGATTCCTGCAGCCTCCTGCTCTGAGCTACCCCAACCCTGACTTTTACATACCCCCACACACAGACAGCAGTCTGACCTAAGCCCCCTGCAAACTCCCACATACTTAAATTTCATACAGATACTCTTGTCACAACCCCTGCTATCCTAAGACACCGCCCTCCCCCCCCCCCCCCCCCCCC